TCAAATATAAGTGAACTGATCAACCTGTCAGTTGCTTATATTTATGTGCGTAATTTCATTTGCAGACGTGTGATCGTGGGAAACGTACAAAGGAATCGGAGGTGTACACCTGTGGCATTATCTTATGGGAATTGCTGTCGCGCAAACAGCCCTACGAAAACACTGATTTAGCTCCTTACAAAATAATGGAGGAATGTATAAAAGGTACGGTATGACTTGGTATTAACTGCAATTACTTAAGATAATATTACATTATAGGGATGCGTCCAGATTTGGGAGACATCGAAATGGTTTATCCCGAAGAATTGAAAACATTGATAGTCAACAGCTGGGATACGGTTCCTGGGAATCGTCCCAAGATAAACCATTTCGTTGACTTTTTCTCAACGTACTTTGAACAAAATAATATTAATGCCACAGATCTAAGTATCTAATGGGGCATCCAAGAAGATTCCAATTCCAATCAACATTCCATTTAGTACAATATTTGTGAATTTCCTATAAACTCTGTATTTATGTATTTTGCTGTTACATACATATTTAAATAAATTTTGATTATGGAATGAGAACTTAATTTGTAGTTTTTATAAACATCTCAGTATAATTGATTGATTGATTGCGAAGGAAATTTAAAATCTAAAATGAATATCGATTACATTAGAACATTTACATTTGTGGATGAGAATAGAAATCTCTGGCCAAAATATTTACATATAAACAAAACAAAATCGCATTGATGAATGGGTGATTAGACACCTTCGCTGTATCAAATATGTGGTTAATTTAACTGTGAATATTGGCGAATACATCATTTATATAAATGTCATATAAATATGTGACTAAGTGAGTTAATTATTGAATATATGATCGATCACTAGTAATAAATTTGATAAGTTCTCCGTTTCCGATTCATAAAACTTGTAATGGTTAAAACATATATATTATTTCAAGTTGACTTTTTTGTTCCTTTTTGATTTATGGAGGAACGAAAACGTTTAACTTGTATTTGTTATGTATGTACGTTTCGTGTTATTTTTTTGTTATAGCTAATCGTTTGCGCCTCTTTATCAATAAAAAATTGTAACGTTTCATAAATGTTCACATTTGAGTATACTAAGTTATATAATTGTTTCGTTAGTTACATATGTTAAATTTGTATTTTCTTCGTTTTGTTTTGTTTTTCATTTTCATTTTAATAATAGTTGCATACTTTAACCTTACTTAAATATAGTTTAGTTAATTAAAATTGTTTGGTATAATTGTTAATTTCATACTCGTTAATAATTGTTCTTGTTTCTCTATATTTTTCGCTTCACTTTTTCACCGCACGTTCCTGCCTACGATTTGTTCAATGTCTTCTTTATATAATGAATGTTAATGCATGTGTAGATATCTTTGTATTGTTGTAATATACGTTTACCCAAAACTCGGTCTAATTGTTTCTCTCTTGATTGCGTGTTGTCAATTTATCGTCTTTAAAGAACGAAAATCAAATGCAACTGAACGACATGAGAAATTATAGTGTGAAAATTTGGATGAATGATATAAGAACAGATTGACGAATAAATAGTCATTGTCGAACAAGCGAAAAGCCTTAGATTAACAAACCAAAATAAAAAAAAATTGTTCAAATATTAACAGAAGTTATCAGAAACGCGTTTATTACATTTGAATTGGTTATGATATGTAAATAGAGCATAGAACACAATACAAGGAATATACAATAATAAATTAGAGTGTAAAAATAATTATATATAACTGAGGTTACATACGCTGCCAAATATAGAGTTCAAATTATTGCATATATACGATATTAACTTAAAAATATTCAAAGTGATTCGAGTGGTAAACGGGACGGTTTAAGTATTATACAAAAGGTATATATGGGTAGCACTGACACAACACATAAATGAATCAAATCAAATTTGTTGCAAATCGTAATCAGCGTAATCTGAAGTGTTGAAGAAATTCAAAGAAATATTGTAAAGTATAATTCACATAAATATCAATCATTTGTGTTTGTCGTATCATCAAAATTGATTCTTGGTTTTGTGTGGAGCGGTCATGTAAAGGGATCGACTACAGTTAGGTTACAATACATATACTATGAATTTCTATGATATTCTTCTAGGTATACGACATGTATCTGGATAATTTGTAATATTATTTTTTCTTCATATAAATTTTTATATATTGTTTCATAAAAGTACAATTTGGTTTCGCTTTCGTCATATTGATGCCAAAGACAAGACTAAAAGTTGATTATAATTTTGTCGAGCTCGCTGATAAAGATTTGCGATCATGTATTTTAATATATGTGTTGTTATATAGGTAGGTAGGTTGGATACGATTTGAAGATTATATACCACTATTTTTGTAAATGTGTATTGGTATTTTTTTGGAAGAATTATATTCCACAGGGGAAAACTTACGGAAGAAAAAAATAAAACAAATAAAATATAAACAAGTCTTATCTAACTAATGCCCAGTACTATGGGAAGAATTAAGTCAAGTCGTTATGGTTCTCTCTTTTGGCTTAAAATTTGTTTGTGATGGACGTAATCAGAAGTCTAACTAAATATGACGAAAAATTACTATTTCGATTGAGTGTGTTCGTTTGTCGTGAGTCAAATTTGAAATTTATATACGTCTGTGAGTGTGTATATGTGTGAGTGAATGTGTTGCTAGATGCTTATGTCTAAAGAACGACGTCAGGCAGGTCGTGCGGCCTTGCCTAGGCGCGCATTTGGTTTTCATGTACAATTTTTCTCTCCTTATAATAGATCTCCTCCGATTCTTTGTCACAGAGCAGCAGAACTACGGCTCCAAACAAGAATATTGCTGCGCCCCAGCCCACCCCATAGGCCCAGCCAAACTCCCAAACGCGTCGATTCGCTGCATAGACAAAATAATTATAAGTTGGTAAATTGCACATATTCAAAATTTATATTCAAGTGATTACCCATTGTGAGTTCGCCAGCAAAGCACACTGGATAGACAATCAGAGCAGAGAGCACGGCCAATACTGTATTGAAAGAGAATCGGAAGAATTGTGAGTTATATGAATTATGTAAGAGACATATGACACGTACGTGAGACCAGCATTACTAGCACTGCTATTCGATAAAATTTGTATTTAATATTATGATTCTGTGTCTTTAGGCCCAGTCCAGTCAACACTGTGGCTATGACATCCGTTATCAATGTGATAATGCATAGCGCTGCAGTTGCCTTAATGTAGCCTATAAAAATACAAAGGTAGGCATTTAGCAAGAAGAATGTTTTTGATCTTGATTTTATATCATTACCAATATCACGGGTCCAATAGCAGCCTGGTGGATCCTGTATATTAAATGGCAGCGGTGAAGCTGAATCATCCTCGATGCAATGCACAAAGAGGCCCTGCCGCCAACCGGCTGCCATTAGCCAATCTGTAGATGCCAGGGCCATAATCATCAATACCACAACGATGACTCCGCAAATAAATGCAATCACCTATAAAGTTCAATTTGGATTGTTGAAAAAAGTGTTTTAAAATTAGAATAATCATTTTTTTTGTACATACCTTGAGGGGCCTTGTGATTGTTATGGTTTCAATTGTCGTTGTCGGCGCCATTTTGTCCGGTTGGGGACGTAGTACACTATTTAAATAATACAAACGAATATGCATTTAATGTTCAAAATATGTATTAGAAAATAATTAGAAATTTATGAGATGAGTTTCACTTACCTTAAAAACTAATCAGGCAAACGTTTGCCCACGTAAAATACTGATTTGGAGCGATTTATTGATATTTTTGGTTAGTTTATAGAGGGGAATAATGGCGAACTCTGGCTTGGTATATATATAACAATTAAATGTCTCAATTGATGTTTATTGTTTTTTGTATTTGCGTTAATTCTTAGCGCACAGCGTTTGTTATGAACTGTTCAAATGCTTTTTTCAATCTAAAATGCTTGCCGAATGCCTTTTTAACATCTGTTTGTTTATTAAAACGTTTTGCATGGAGGAAAAATAGAATTGGTAACAGTTTCGATTAGTGCAATTGTAGCTGATAATTTATAGTTTACGTTAAAACTAAATAAGAACAATACAAAAAGCGAAAACATACATTCAAGCGCATACAAGTCAGCAGAGAAAACAATACAATATAGAGCAGCAGCATGCAAACACATACAGAAGCATTTGAGTAGGCCGGAGCCCAGCCCCCGCCTAGGTGGGAGGGGCCTACCACAAATTGACCAAAGCACAAAAATCCACTTGGAATAGGCCACAAGCGCTGCTTTTTGTAACGCTTCAATAAGTTTGTTTTGTTCATTTCATCAAACGGCACTAGTCAACAAGATTTGAATTTATAGCGTATATGTTCTTAATAATCTAATGAATGGATAACGGTTATTTAAGATTGTCAGTATGTTGTTTTCGCAAGCGCCAACAAGTATATTTGTATATATTGTGCTAGCAGGATCAATCAACGCCTTCATATAGATCTATTTGAGTACATCTCATATTTATAAGGTATATTACCACAATATGTATGCTTTATATAGATATGGTATAGCTTCTAGTTAAGGTATCTCCTAGTCAAGCAGTTCCTTTCTTGGTTGTTAAAAAAAAAGATGTGCAACATGTGACAAAGCTATTATATATGTAGGAATGCGTAAGCAATGACATCAACAAAAAGAATGTAGCGAATGTCCTCAGATACCAAGGCCACTCCAGGAAGCACCTGTATTAATCGTAAAACTGCAAGTATCTTGAGTATCTTGATTAATAATGTATAATCTGACACGAAAGCCCACATACTATATGACTACAGTAAAAGCTCGAACAAATGACAATTTTAATAATAGATGTACCATATGTCTTTCACAACTATTCAGTTAAATATAAAGTAAAATATAAAAGGAACCACAGCTGTTCACTAAAGGCATTATATGTCTTCAGTAGCAAATATCAAAAGATATTTAAGATGTTTTATAAATCAAAGTTTTTAAGCAGCGAGTGGGCAAGGAAGGCAGTTTTCACTGCTTCCTCATCTAACAAATTATTTACAAAGTGTGGCGTAGTCCATTTGTATGAGCGGGCTGCTTGCCTTATACTAGACAAAGAAAAATGCTTGCCAATTTTATGATTTTATTGCACAGACGGGAGCCAGACAGAGACGATGTGTGCTCTATTTTTAGCCTAAACAATAAGGCAGAAACACAAAATATTTGCATATACACACAAGCATATGTACGTGAGAGCATTGGGCACGGCAACAGGATCAAGAGTATTTAATATGAGAAGCATAATTATATCAAATAAAGAAGACAAAACAAACAAAGCACGAATGAAAACATAAAATTGGGGCACAGAAAATCGACAATAACAACAACTACTGCGGCGAGTGTACGAAGGGTGAAACGGAATCAAAACAAAAATGCGGACAAAAATATTGCTTGTTGTTGTCGCTGTCGTTGTTGTTGTCGTTTGCTAAATACCTTTCCTTGTAATAGTCCAAAGTAACCGATTCGGAATCAAACTCTGAGTAATCAGGAAGCGATTCGGCATCAAAGGAGCTCATTCCGCTCAATGTATAATTGGGAATTACACTCATTTTATTGCCATAGATGCCAATGTTGCTCTGATGCTGTTGTTGTTGTTGCTGCGCGTGCTGCTGTTGCGTTTTTAACAATTCCGACATCTTGCTTTTATTGAATAAATAACACAAGATCTTTACACACACAAACGCACTTACACACACATACGCAAATACAGTCCGTTTTTGGAGACTGCTTGTGACACAGTTGTGGGAAAATAATAACGCACTGCTATTTTCTCTATTCTGTTTTCCCAGCTCTTGCTTTTCACACTCTGTGCTCTGCTGTCTGCTGCAAAAATATGGCGTATATCGATGTGGTAGCAACTCTAACTTACGATTTTATTTTCTGTATAGCGTTTAGCTATTGCATTTTACATTTTTAATTAAATTTTGAATTTCCCTTTTTACATTAAACACAAACAAAATAATAAAAATAATTATTTGCAGAGGGGTTGACAATCACTAAAATGTTTGTGAAACGCGTTATTTATTTTTTAGGTGGTCATTTGTTTTAGCTAGGTGGCAAGGCTGCTTAAGCTATGCTTTGCGATAGTTGCGACCACTTCGATACTTGATCGATAGCCGAAAATATACTTACATCTCTAGATCGGCGTCGCATTTGTTGTTCTACTTTATTTAGTTGATTCGGTTGGAAAACTAAGTTTAAATCTCAGTTTTTAAACGAAATCCAAGTAACATATAAACTATAAACTGCACGTATATTGGCTAAGTGCCACAAACCCCGGTGGCCAATCATTATTTTGCTTGCAAAATATAGAAAGAAAGGTCTTTGGCCATGGCAACTGACACTGTGCCCAACACCGAAAACTTTAATCTTGCCAATGGGGAAGAGGATGTTATATGCCCCACTTGCGATGCAAAAATTAAACGCAGTCAAGTAGCCGATCATTGCCAAATTGAAATGGATCGATTACACAGCATGCAGCTGCGGTCCGCACAGACAGTGGCCGCGTTGGCTGCCACCACTAATAACACATCGCAAACACAATCTTCTGCTGCCACTGCTGAGGGCGGCGGCCAGCGAAAGCCATGGAGTGTATTCCAGCGTGTGCAACGCAACCGGCAGGCCCGACAGCGACAAAGAACGCGCAAACGACCTACTCCACCACCAGCAACAGCGCAACCACCAGCAACAGCTGCTGCAGGTGCGGATGCTGCTGGGCCAAGTCAAGCAACCGAAGCCACATGCAGCTGTCCCGTCTGCAACAAAAGTTTCCCACAGACCGATATACAGGACCATGTGAATCAGTGTCTGCGTGCTGGAGGAAGGAACGGGGATCGCCATTCCAGCGATGACGACGATGACAGCGAAGAGTACGAGGAATACGAGTGGGCGGGACAGAAGCGCATTCGCGTGTCGACGCTCGTCCAGGGCGGCTATGCAGCGCTGAACCTTGGACAGACCATCAAATACAATGGTGACCAACAGACGAATAACGATGATGAGGACGATGTGAATGTGGATGAGGACGACACGCATATATATGGGCCGACGCAATATGGCGAAGCAGACGTCATACCACTGGACAATGACGATGCAGAGGACGGCGGTGTCTCTGAGGCTGATGTTACCAGTTATGTGCGCCGTCTAATATCATCCAATGAAACGCCCAAGAGTAACAATACCCACGATGCGACTGATCAGATAAATGATGACGCGGCTAGCCAGGCCCCATCCACATCTGGACAACAGCCTGTGTCTGCATCGGCATCCACATCACGTAGCAGCAACAGTAACAACACATCGTCGCAGATTATCGAATCCTTAAAGGCGCGCTTGCGTATGTACGAGAAGCAGGCGCAAAGCAAACTCAAGTGCTTAATCTGCATTGATGATTACAAGAATCCCGCCATCTCAGTGTCCTGTTGGCATGTCCACTGTGAGCAGTGCTGGCTACAGACGCTGGGTGCCCGTAAGCTTTGTCCGCAATGCAATTCCATAACTACTCCAAAAGATTTAAGACGCATTTATCTATAAAAGGAATTCTGGCCGTAAGTGGTTGGTCAGAATCAACTGTTATGATTTATGTTTGCAAATATAGCTATTTACAGACTTATTGAAATTTAGTTATAGATTCATATTATTTATACAGATTATAACTGAACGCAGCTATGATTATCATACGTGACATAACAATAAGCATTATGTAACTATTAAATAATAAAAATAAACAAATAAATTATTTTATTTAACTATTGAAAATGACAGCTGAACGCGCGCTAAAGTCCACGTTATCGATTTTTGTTATTTGCACTAGCACTGATTGTCTATCAAAATATCGCAAAAACTATAAAATATCGAACAATGTCCTATCGTCACAGTGTGGGCAATATCGATGATAGCTACTATCGCAAGCGATTGTCACTTGCCAAACATAGTGAAAACTTGAAAAGTTGCTTTTTTTGTGTCTCCCGTGGACTTTTTTCCAGGGATTACTAATTCGCGAAAAAACGCGCGGTTTAATGCGTGCCATTTTGTAGGCGGCTTGCAGTGTGAAATTCTAAAGCGTATATAGCATAACGCTAAAAACGCCTGCGTTAGTAGGGATCGGTCGCTCTTCCACCTCCACACCTTCGCCACCTCCGCCGCTGCCGCCGCCGCCGCTGGGAACCTAGCACAGGTCCAGTTTGTACATATATACATATATATCTATATGTATATATTTATATATGCATATGTATGTATATAGTGCTAGTTGCATACGTATGTGACGCGTGTATTATGTCATTTATTTATAATAAATAGCATAAAAGTTGACAATATGCAAACAAATGACCGCTGAGTGTTGCACCAAAGAGTGAGAAATATAAACACGTAAAAATGTAGACTGTTTGTTCGTGAGTGTGTTTGTGTGTGTGCGTGCGTGCGTGTGTGCCGCAGATAATGGATGTTTAGCCGTATATAAATATATACGTAGCTTTAGAAAAATATATATTCGTGCATACATACATGTGTATGTGTGCATGTATGTGAAGCATATGCGACGCATCAAGTCGTCGGCAATGTTCCTTGCCGCCTACGCTAGAGTTGGCAACAACATTAGCTTTAGCCCAGGCTCAAGCCCAGTAGCTATAATTTAGAGTGTCTCTACCAATTTAACAAAACACGTCCAAAATTCATCAACAACAATAACCAATGGCTACATTTAATGCAACAAGCAGCGCGGATGTTTTGAGTTCCTCGGTTGGCGCTGCCACCGCAGCGGCACCAACATTTCTAATGCCCTCCACAACTACGGCAGCTGGTGGTAGTGCAACAGTGGGCACTCTTGGTGGGCATCCGCTGCATTTGGAACCGTTTGGTGCTATGCCCGCACATGCACAGTATATGAACGCAGGTGCTGCGTCGTTGCCGTTGCCGTTGCCATTGCCGTTGCAGCAGCATCATCATCATCATCAGCAGACCAACTCGTCCTCGTACACATTTGTGCAGATCAAACGAGAGCCTTGTCAGGTGTCTGAGATAAGTTCTAACAATTGTCATCAGCAGCAGCAACAGCAGCAAAACCACCAGCAGCAGCAGCATCATCTGCAGACAGCGTCCACTTCCCTTGGCCTGGGCAGTGTTACCTCATCATCCGTAACGGCGTCGGCCACAAAGACCATGTCTGCATCTACACTCACCACGTTGGTCAAAATCGAAGCCTCCTCGCCAAAGGTATCTGATTTGGAAAAGTCCACGTCTAGCACAAGTAAGTTGTCTAATTAATCTATGGGATTCCAGTTCAGTTGATTATGTTTTTTGATGTCTCTAGACAATTCTGTGCCCATTGGAATTGCCGTGGCACGCAAACGTCCGCAGGAGACGAGCAGCGCCTCACTCAACAGTGGCTCCACGCTGCCCCTACAGCCGCCACTCAACAAGGACATGAACTGCTTTGGCATACGTGTCGCTGATCTGGGTAAGTTCTATTAGTTGAAATATTGAACTTTGATGCGCCATAATGTGTGTGTGTGTGTGTGTGTGGTTAGAGTCGTTACTGATAGATTTTCTAAGACCAGAATAATCAAAATGTTTGTTTCATTAAACTAGAAACTAGAAGTAATAATTTCTTACGATGTTAAATATTAGATTTATTTTTATATTATGATAATGCTCTATTTTTAAATACTCTTAACTAAGATAACACATTTAAACAATTTTCGGAGAAATGATAAGCGAAGCCATTCAATATAAAGGCTTTTCGCATCAACGAACAATTTCTATCAATAATACGTGTCAGATGGCGTAGTTCAGTGCAATTGTCTGATATTTATGTGGAATATTACATATTTGTAAGCCAGAAATTTTTAGGAGAATTTTTCCTTACATTAGACTAAATTGAGTAATTTTTGCTTAAAGCATTTGTTGATAAAAAAAATGTTTAATCTTCTTAACGGCCTTTTAAAGAAAAAGTATTCAGAATAGAAAGCTTTGAATAAAATCTAAATGGAGTAAATGGAAAAGTATGCGATGAAGAATCAAGAGTTATCCTGCGACAGGCTGGGGTTCGATCTTCTAATTGAATTGGATAGCGCAGATTTGTGCTTGCTAATGAACGCTTGGCTAAGCCGTTCACCAATCTTCGGCTGTCCCCAGAGGCATCGTTAGCAGCATAATTACGTGCCTCGGGCGAGGAGCGTGTGACTTGAAGCGAACGATGTGGACGGCGCTTAGTTATGGCACTAATAGGATTTCGGCAAACAGTTAAAAATTCCGTCAGTGTGTTAGGGGTAGGAAGGCCACATAAATTCCACCCTAAACGAAGATTGAAAGGGCAGAAATCATATGATACGGCCGCAAAAGCGGGCGGGGTAGCGGATATGGATTGTGTAGCTGTCGTTGTTGTGACAGCCCTCTGACTTGTGCCAGCAGCCCCAGGCGGTGGCGTGCTGCGCAGTGAGATGTGGGCGAGTGGTTTAGATATGTATAGAAAGAAGGAAAAGAAACACTTATTGAATACTTCAGAAGAGGAAACACATGAAATAGAGTATCTATTGCGCCGTTTCTTTCGAATAGCGTGAATCTAGACGGATTACTCATAGGTAACGTTCCTTTTTCTATGGGTGGTTGCTGCTCAAAATGTTGTTCACAACTTTCGGATGACTGCAGGCGAGCTTCAACTGTTGTTCCTGCTCGTCCAGCAATCTGGAAGGTGGTGCACACTGAGGGGGCTGTAAATATATATAGAGCGAGTTGCTGGGATAAGTAGCAGCAAGCAGCAAGGGATGCTCACGCTGAGCATTCCTATCAAGGAGGACCAATGCGACGGCAATATGATACGCATAAGTGGTTTGGGTATGTGACCATATGGCAAAGTCCCCCCTAACGGCTGTGCGGATTCTATTTATATATAGTGAGATCTTTATACATGTATAACTGGTGGGTAGATGTCCCAAAAAATAGAGAAGAAAAAAAAAAAAAAAAAAAAAGTGTGGCACTAATTGCATTTTGAGGCAGCTCCGTTTTCGCTTTTAGCATTCGCTAGGTCGAACATCAATCTGAGGTCCTTAATAGCCCCTTGATGTAATGCAATTAGTGTTTCGTGTACGCTTTAATCGAATTTCTGTAAAAATCATTCACAGTCAGTGTTTGGCTAAGGGATGATGGTTCAGTGGCTTGATAGGCCGCCTGTTGGGCTGTCTCTGGGTGTTGGGTGTGAGTTCGGTACGTCGCCAAATGCATAGTTCAAGGACATTGCAATATTTAAAGTATACACACACAGCTTTCTCTCTCAGGCGCAAACACAAATACACTTGCACTCAAACACGCACACACACACACACACGCACACAGATACATGTGAGTGGCATGTAAAGCTGCTGTGGTGCAAAACAAAAAGTTTATTAAATAATTGAACGTTGAGTCGTCGAGTTGCAAAACTTGTGCGGAATCAAAACTAGAAGTTGTCAGAGCAAAGCTGAAAGTAATATCTGACATTTTCGGCAATTTAATTCGATTATCGGCTATTCATACGAACTTTAACTGCAGGCGCCACCAGTTGCGGCAATCTGTATTTCACGGGAAACGGTGATTTGATGACAACGGGCACAGCCACCGCCGAGGAGCTGGCACTGAGCGCCGCGGGCGTCAACAGGACGCCCTCCACCTTCTGGCAGTATCCAAGTGAGTTTTTCTTTACCCTACCTATATATATTAAAAGGAATTTTATGTGTTTTTTTTTGTTGTGTATTTTAAATTTATTTAAATCGTCTTCTGCCACTGAAGTACTTAACCCATCCAACACAACTGGCCACTCCTCCTTCTATATATTCATTTATTTATTGTCGCATCTGTTTTATTTTATTTGCGTTTGTAGATGCATTGCCCATTGAATCAGTGATTTCCATGTCGCCCGCCACGGTGGGCTTGCAATACTCGCGCGAGGCCAGTCGCGGTCAGGTGGTGCTGCTGCCAGCGGCACCAGCAGCGCTTGGTAAGTCTCTCTATATGCATCATCTAAGTAACATTCAAGGCATCCAATCTTACAACATGCATGACATACACAGATGTGAATATATATTTCTATATAAATATATATATATGTAAATGTATATGTATATGTGTGTATATGTATATATCTATATCTATGTATGTATGTATGTATATCGAAGTACATAGTCTATTCATGACGCATCACGAGCGACGCTTGTGCCATTTGCCACTAATGCTTGAGTCGTCGCATCCTAGCTAGGTTAACTTGATTTCAAGACAACAACTAATTCATGCTTTTGTAACTCCGCTTTTCTTCCCGCCCACCCAACAACCACAAACAACAAATCCAACTCCAAATCCATAAAAAAAAAAAAAAATACTGAAACAAAATAAAATAAAAAACAAACACTCGACTATGCACAGCAGGCATATCAAATTTTCCCCTCTTAACGCCCACAGATCCGTTCCAGCAGGCAGCGGCGGCGGCGGCCTTCGTCTGGCCATCAGCTTACATACCACAGAGTACGCCCGGTGCTGGGCCAGCCGCCGCAGCCGCTGCGCTGCAACCACCGCCCAACTTTATATTCCCCTCGATGGGCGCCCACTCCGCATTGGGCGCAACATCTCCGTATGCATCCACGTTGCAGCTATATCTGGCCGCAGCGGCCACCGCCACGGGCAGCTCGACGCTGTGCCAGCACAGCAATCAGCAGACCAGCAGCACCACAACGACCAACTCCACCATCAATCTGAGTCTGGCTGCTGCCGGCGCCGGCGTCACGAGCAGCACCAGCAGCAGTAGCCTCAGCAGCTTGAGTTCCACCAGCAGCTCACGATTCCTCAGTCTGGCAGCTCAGCCGCCATCCGTGGCCCCTAAGCCTCTGGCCATGAGCTCGCTGCTGTTGCCGCCCGCTGGCCTCAAGCTGGAGGACTATCCGATTGCGCAGCCGTTGCCGCTGCCGGAAGCGGTACGGGATACTGAGCAACAGGCTCTCAATCTAATGCGTTTGCCAACGCCGCCCACTTCGGCGACCATCGAGCCAATGGCAACGCCGCTGAGCCAACCATTGCCTCATCAAATACTCCTCCAAGCGGCGCCAAGCACGCCGACGCCGGCGCTGCTCAATCTGTCAATGCATAGTGCAAGCGCCGCCGCTGGCATTGTTGCCGACACGCCCACCCCGAGCGACGAGGCGGCGCTCAACTATAAGTTGCATGCGCCACTGACACCGCAGACGCCGCCGCGCCTGGGCGCCGCCACATTGCTGCCCCAGATGCAAGATGTCAACATACAGACAGATACGCCGGTGTGCAGCGAGGATGAGAACTCTTCGTGTCCGCTGAAAGCGACGCAGGAGGCGTGCGAATCACAGTTACCCCTCGAGCTGACCAAACCCAGTGAGCCCCTCAGTGCCCACACCAACCACGCCAATCAACCAAATGAGTGCCATACCCAAACGAGTCCCAGTGACATGATTAGTGCCAGTCTCAGTGCCAGCGAGCCGATGGAAGTGCCCACGGAGCAGTTGCCTGTGCAACAACAGCAACAGCAACCACAACACCAACAGCAGACAGCGCCCGAGGATCTGACCGGACTGGTGCTGCTCTCAAACATCAGTACCAACAGCACGCCATTGTTGCGCGTCAAGCAGGAACCGGTGGAGCACCATGAATCCGTGCCAGCAATGATGCCAGTGCCGCCAGCGGAGTCGGCGCCCATGCAGCAATTGATGAATGTGGAGCGAACGCAGTCGGAGCCGCTGGGCGGCTTGAAGCTGCTCTGCGCATTGGCATTGCAGGAGGAGGAGCAGGGCAGTAGTCTGTTCGCCACTCCAACGTCGCGCACACCTTCGTCTCGAGCGGCTTCTCCGCCCATCGATGCGAATAGCTCGTATGGCTGTGTGTCACAGCCGACACAGCCCTCACAGCCGTCTGATTGTTGCCCTCCACAGGAAATGTTGCACACCTCACCCACGTTTCCCTCCATGCAGGGCATTGAGCTGCCCAGCACGTCCTTCGCTGCCGTAGCCGCCGGCGAGCTGACGCCCGCTAAGCGCAAGAAGCACAAACATTCCAAGTCGAACTCAGTGTCCGGGGAGAGTCGTAAATCCTCGCGCTGCAGCAAGAAGAGCAAGAAGAAGCGCCGCCACAGCATTAGTCGACAGCAGCAACAACAGCAACAGCAGCAACCGGAGGACGATGCACAGCTCCAGGGCGAGGAGCTGCAATCGGAGCTGCGCAGCGCTCTGCACACCATTGATCCCAGTTATGCGCAGCGCTTTGGCCAGGAAGTCTTCTCCATCATGGACAATAGCATGCGCATGCGTTTGGCCGACATCACACGGCAGTATCGTAAGAAGAAGCGCAAGCTAGACGAGATTTCCAAGCACAAGAAGAAGAAGAAGTGCTCCAAGCAGCTGTTGCAGCTGCAACAGCAACAACAGCAGCAACAACAACAGCAACAGACGCTACCACTGCAACAGCCGCTACATCAGCCGCAGCTAACACTCGGCTCAACGCTTTCGGGAGTCCTGGGGTAAGTTAATTTTGGCAAGCTCCGAAAGGAGCAGAGCCTTGGGGACGTCTTCAACGGATATATTACAATTGATCATCAAATATGTAAGATGTTTAAAAGAAGAGCTGTCTGGCTTATCCAGATCTGCCAGCTCCAAATCAACAGCATTCCAATGCGCCATATGCCCAGGGAAAGTATCAATCGCAAATTCAATTCTGATATGGAAAAATTGTTTTATTTTTCAAGGCATCTTGAAGCAATCAGACAATTACTGTTATTTTTACTGCACATCTTGTGCAATTGCGAATTTTGTTTTGAGAGCAATCGACTAAGTCGCATAGCCGACGCAACCGGAGTAGTTTAACAATAAGTTCTTTTCTATAATTTTGTTTTTGGTTTCTTTAATTTGAATTCTTTTTTTATCATTTACCAGAACTGCGTCACCGTTGCGAGATTATAAGTTTCCGAAATTTTCAAGTGGAAACTTGCAGGCGTCGACCTTTTTGAGATTCCCAGAAAAGACGCATTCGTTTCCGCCGCCACCGCCGCTGTTGCAGCAGCCGCAGGTGGAGCCCAGTACCTTGCCAAGCAGCAACTCGCCGAGCACATCGTCGTTTGTGCGTCTCGAGCCTAGTGCTTTAGATGCGGCAGTTGCCGCTGCTCCAATTACCTCGTCCAGTTCTTCCAGCTCCTCGCACAAGCATTCGCACACGAGCAGCACAAAATCGGCGGCGCGCAAGGAGCGCAAGCTGAAAGCGAGCGCAGTCGACGCGCAAGCGGTCACCGAGGCCAAGCGACGATTTAGCGCCGCAGATGCCGAACTCCAGCTGACCAGTGAGCACCTGTACCGCGATGAGACACGTGTGCTCACCGATATGGGGGGCCTGTTCTATGCGGGGGTCATGAAGCCGCTGCGTCCGCCAGACGTCTATGCCATAACCTTGGACGGCGAGCGCGGCAACAAGTCGCATGTCATGTCGCGCGAGGACATACTTAAGGATACGGTGAGTACCGAAAGCTATTCCAATTATCTTTCGCTAATAAGAGTCTTATTTTTGCACAGATTCTCGAGGTGGCTCCGAAGAGTGTGGAGGATGTGCCAGTTGGCACACGGCTATGCGCCTATTGGAGCCAACAGTATCGTTGTCTCTATCCTGGTCGTGCCATCGACTCTGAGCCAGTCGAGGAAACAGCTCCGTCAGCAGCGTCAGCGGTGGGTGCAACGCCACAGGACTTTGTCAGCGTGGAGTTCGATGATGGTGACAGCGGCAGGATCCGCTTGAAAAACATTCGCCTTCTACTCAGCAACTATCCCATTGCAGGTGCGTCGAACATACATCTATTTACTTTTATGTGGGAGAATGAAGCCAAATAATCTAAAAGCTTTACTTAGCTGCACTAGAATCTACTAAGTGGCAAACAATAATTTAAGTTTAATACTTTCTAATGAGGTTTCATTCTCTATTTACTGTCCTCTTTTGTGACTTCTTTATTTATGGCTGTTGTTTTCGTTTTCCTTGATTCGTTTACGCCCCGTTCCCGTCCCGCCAATGGTACAGAGTACAACGATAATCCCCTTTACTCTGTAGGCAAGCAGAAGCGTGGCGCAATGCGCAGCGGCGACAGTGGCGCCGGATCCGCCCATGAGCAAACAGGAGCGCCGAGCGGCGACGATTCGCACAGCCATCATGGATTTAGTATGAGCAGCGATAATACAACCTCGCTGGCTGCCACCATGGAGCTGTTCACACAGCGCAGCGAGAAGAAGCGCCTGAAGAAGAGTCTAAAGAAGTTAACGAAAGCCCAGAATGGGATTGGCCAGGCTGGCGAGTTGAATGATTTTCAGAATGGCGGCGGCGATGCAGTTGCGGCCGGGGATGCCGCCAGTCTGGATGATGGCAGCCGCAAGCATCATAAGCACAAGAAGCGCAAGAAGCATAAGAAGCACCACCGCAAAAATGCCAACGAAGAGGCTGAGCCAGTTCAGGATTACATGACGACGGCTGAGGATCTGCAGCCAGCGGTAGAAGAACCTGAAAATCATGCGCCAATTATGCAACGAGTTAAGGTTGAGCTGAAAGTAAAGGCGGAGCAGTTGGACATCGAAGAGGAGACCACATCTAACTTAATGTCCGAGGTATCCGATGAGGTGATGTGCAAAGCTAAGCAGCTAACAAAGTCTGTTCTAACGTCTAAACTCCCTTTCCATGGCGTAGGTCAAGGGCGACGAGCTGGTTGAGCACAACAACTCCAAGGGCAGCAGCAAGATTGCGGCCTTTTTGCCAGAGCGGCAACTGTGGGGTTGGTTTGGAACCGCCTATCGCAAGGCGGGCGTCAAGGGACGCGCCAGAAAGCAATTTTATAAAACAATCAAAAGGGGCAAGGAGACTATAACGGTAACTGTTACAATGCTCCTATGGGAGTGAGCAATGCATTAATCGTCGAATTCATGAATTGTAGGTCGGGGACTGTGCAGTATTTCTATCTACGGGTAGACCGGATCGCCCCTACATTGGACGCATCGAGTCCATGTGGGAGACCACGGCTGGCAATAGAGTGGTGCGCGTGGCGTGGTTCTATCACCCGGAGGAAACCACGGGTTGTCCTAAATTGAAATATCCGGTAAGCTACAATTTAAAATTCGTAATCTCAAAGGTATATATATAATATTTGTTATATTCTTATAGGGTGCTTTATTTGAATCGCCACATGAGGATGAGAACGACGTGCAGACTATATCGCATCGGTGCGAGGTGCTGCAGTTTGTCAACTACGTTGGCAAGTTTGGCACCGATTCGAAGCAATATCAAACCATATATGATAACAATGATACATATTATTTAGCCGGGCACTATAACCCAAGGTTGCAAGTGCTGAAACTACAAGACGATATTCCAACTCTCGAAGAGCTGCAGGATACTACAACTACTACTACTACAACTACTACTACGGAGGATTAAGCGATGCGTGGTTAGGATTAGATATAGACATAGACGCAGTGCATACAAAATCTATATAAATCATATATATATATATACAATATATACGTTATACATATATTTTACAATGCGTGAAACAAAAGAAGCAGATATATACCTTTATGTATACACATATTATTTCTATATTTTTAATTGATTAAATAATGTATTCTAAACGCATACAAAAAAAAAGAGGAAAACAAATTTAAGAGAAAAGAAAATTGTGAAAGAGAGAGAGAGATGATTCAAGGAACTAAGCGAAATCCACTAAAATAGTGTATAGTAAAATCGCAAGCAATTTTAAGATTTATTTTGTATAAACAAAGATAACAAATCGCGCGTTTATTATTGTGACGATGATTTTGAGATATAGGAGTTCGTTTAATGTTCAGTAAAAAGGTTTAAAACTTTTAAATGTGTGCTCCTCAACTGTGCGCATCCGAGAGAGACTCACAGGAACATATACACTTAACATGCAACACGCAATACACAATATACAATCCACAAAACACAGCCCACAGATACACATGTATACCTAAAATATTTCTGATGAAATTTAAAACATGTTTTAAAGATTTTAAGCAGGCAACATGCAGCAACTACTACTATAAATGTAACAATTCAATGTGATAGCAAAACAAAACCAGATGTTGATGTGTATAGAACGAGAGTATAAGCATAGATGATAACAAAAACCAACAAACAAACAAACAAACAATTATGAAAACAAGCAAAAGAATGTGTTGAATATTTACATTTATTCAAGAAAAACAATACAAAACAAAAATATATATACATATATAAAATCAAACCTATCTATAACCACACATATATCAATAAACTTGCCGTGATTATTGTATTATATGAACGCTTCTAGGTCTATTAAGCAACTGCAAAGGTTGGTCTCTTGTACAAATTATACCCTACATTGAGTGTACACACTCGATTCTTAAATACAATACAATTTTGGTCATATTCATTCTTAAATAAGGAATGTACATGTTTACCTTTTGTATTCGTTGGAGCTGCTTATCCTTGGTGTAGGGCGCCATGGCAATGCCTGTCTGTTGGGCTGTCAATGATGTTTGATTGGCAACGAATGTTTGGGCATGGGGTGTTGCTATCTCCATGCGATTGGAGTGCTCGGCCTCATGGCAATGGAATCACATGCGTGCGTTGCTAGGCGATGCTGCCCCGCGTCCTGGCATCGATTAAACACTCGCAAAATTTGCATTTCATAAGTCGGGGTAAGCTTAGACTGGAATAAGGAAGGGTCTACGAATGCGTGCCTGGGAGACACAATAATTAAAAAGCCATTTGGAGATAGGGGCAGGCGATTGGCCAAGGAGTGCGAGTGGGCTGGCTCATCCCCCCCGGCGACGGGGTAACTCCCAAAATGAGCACGACACCAAAATGGTACTGCCGCAACAAATCGCAGCCGATGCACACGTTCGCGGAAATCGGAAATTTGGGCCTGGAACTGCGACGCATTACCAAGCGGATTGTGATCGATGTTAGCTCGTCCATATTCAGCGAGCATGTGAGTGCTTTGGTCACACAGTTGATCCGGGCAGATAATCAGTTTCTCTTTGGCTGTCCAATGCTAGGATACCATTTTGGAGGAATGCGAGCATGTGGTGGAGCTCTACTGGAGCCTGAAGGACGAAACTAAGAATGCAGATTTTCAGTCGCTCTCGAAAAAGATCAAGCGCAGTCCCTACAACGCGCTGCTCATGCGCAAGTTCAATCTGATCATGGAGCTGAACGACAGACGCTTCTGCCAGCTGACCTTCGTGCTCAAGCGTACGGTGGGTAGCTTCGTCCCATCCTGACCGATCTATAGGTATTTCTCTTGCAGCTCTGTCTGCTCTTGCGCAAGTCGATGCAGTCAGAGATGTGGCTCAACTGGGCACTGCATATCACCCAGCTGTACAACAAGTGCCGCAATGTGAACGCGAGCCAGAAGCAGTGGCCACCCACTGCGCCAGCGGAGCAGGAGGCACCAGTGGAGGAGGAGGAGAGTGAGCCGAAATTGAGTGGGAAGTGCAAGGAGGAGATGCACGCCAATGTGTGCAGTAATATGTATCCAGCTCTGCTAATGTCCCTCCGAAACATTGACTTTGGCTTTGTACTCCAGGTTGGTCCATCAACAAAACGTCTTCTTCTTCGACTAAGGAGTTTCCCGATTTACCTTTATAGTGTGTGGCCCAAACGCGAGTAGAGCAGAATGCGTTGGATTTGATCTTTGGACTCTTCAACATGGGTGAGCAGGATGCCTGGCGTGAGCAGCAGCAGCAACAGCAGCAGCAGCGTCACAACGACGAGTCCACCTCTTCCAGCCTGGAGATCCTGCGCACATTGAATATTTCCTTTGCTGCCGGCGACTATCAACAGTACTGCGATCCTGGCCAGGACTACAAATCCATGCAGCTAGCAGCTCCAGATGCTGGCGATAATCAGAGCTTGCGCTGCAAGCACACCGAGAGTTTTCTGCAGAAGGAACGCCTCTTCATAGCACAACTTATAACCAAGGCCACGGAAATTTGTCCAACTATATTCGGTACGCTCCCTTGATTATAGCTCATTGATGAGCTTATCTTATCTCAGTTATCAAACAGATAGCCGCCGGACAGGTGAGGTGGACATGAATGCCTACATCGTGCGCGGCCTGCGTTTGCTGTGGTCCTATGTGGGCATCATATTGGATCACATATTGCTCTGGTGGATAGACACGCCGATGTCGTGCTATAATCTCACCCACATCGACTCCATACGCTGCTGGCTGTTTCACCAGAGTGTGAATGGTGGGTTAATGTTTGCTATCCTTAATAAATGATATATTTATGACTGTCCAAACTTTTCGAAGATATACCCGAACCGGTTTACTCCACACTACGTGGCATTGGCGAGATTCTGACTGGCTTCATGTGCAACAACATCTGGGATCAGCTGTTTCGGTTGGCTCTCGTATCGTCGAGCAATCCAAAACGTTTGGTTGAACAGGTCGTCGAGCAGTATCGCGATTTCCCCAAGAACGTAAGATTGCCTAGAGCTCGAATCTGAATATTTTTAATGCGGCTGGCTGCATTGCAGGAGCACGGCACGCCTACTGGTACGGTGTGGATCAGCGTCTTCTCCAACCTGGTCAACCTGAGCAATCAATACTTTGCCAACACGGATGCCCACAATAATTCAAGTCTGCTGCCAGTTGCTGAACAGATACCCATACTACACAGGCTGGGTAAGCTTGATGGATGGAGTGTAAAGTCCTCCACTTTGTAGAACTTTTATCTTCCAGATCATTCGGTGCACTCGATGCGTCTGTGGGTCACCGAGCAGGCGAAGCTGCTGTGCTGCGAGTGGAAAATGGATCGCTTCTTCCAAATACTGGAGCACGATGTGAAGCAATGCCTGAGTGTCTTCACTACCTTCAAACTGCCCAAACTCACTGCCGATCTGAGCGATATACTGATGCTAGTGTGCGTGGCGCTGCGCACAAAGCTCATCACTGAGGTCACCAATAATATAGATTTGCTTAAGGTATTCCCCAACACTCCAACTCCCCCACCCCCCATCTCCATGCATCACAGTCACAGCTCATTTGATTGCTTTGGCAGAAAACAACCGATGAATGTGTTCAGATATTGTCGGCGGTTTGCCGCATCGTTAGCCTGGCCAATTTCACGCTCTGCTTTCCGGCGGCTAGCCATTGGCAGCGCAGCGTCTACAACAACGAGGAGAAGAGCTTGTATGTGGGCTATGTGCTGGATCAGATCTTCTTGCCCACCATACGCGCCACCAAGGACATAGTCATACTGAAGCTCATCCTCAAGCTGATCTGTGAGGCCTGGCTGGACTTCATTTACCAGAAGCGCATACGCTTCAGCGTCAATGGAGCCCTGCGTCTGCTCAACGATTTCGATGATGTGCGCGAGTGGATACTCAACTGCTCCCTGCTGGACGAACAGCAGCTGGACAAGCTCAGCAATCACGAGGTGCTGCGCATGTGCAAGGGCGTGGGCAAGATACTCCTACGCAAGCCGGAAGACATCATATCAATCACGCAGTCGCCAAGGTTTGACAAGAAGACAAGTGAGTTGTTGATTTTATGCCGAATTCGAATGGTTCTCTGAGAGCTAATCTGCTTCGTAGCCGACGCGAGTGCCCAGGACACACAGCTGCCATCCGAAATGTTCGTCTCCAATCAGAAGCACTGGCTGCAGCTGCGCGCCAGTGCCGGCAATGGGTTCCCCCTGATGAAGCTCTGCTGTGGCGATGGCATGATCTGAGCCGCATAGCGTAGACAATAAATAGTAAAGAATAGAAATGTTTATTGTGTCGCGCAAATGCTTACAAAAATTGAAAGATCTAAATACATTGTGTGTGTATAAGGGTATAAAGTGAGGCTTGCCTATATGTTAATGGTCTTTAAGATCTATTGGTGCCCCTAGGCGGGCACTTTGCGACTAATTATCTTTATCAGCTCGTCGACGCGCTCGCTCTTGCCAGCAAATTGTTTTGGATGCGGTCCAATCATCTGAATAATCATCTGTACGTCCGGAGACACCTAAGTGATGAGAAATGACACAAGAGTTGACAGCTGTCGCTAGAAACGCTATACGAATGTGGGTCAATACCTCAAGGAAACGTGCCAGCGCCTTCAGCGTGCGAAAGATTTGGTCTTCGTTGGGACTGCTTTGGAAGAACTGCAGTATGGCCATGGCCAGCTCCACGGCAACGTCATCGAATACCTGTCGAAGAATGAGGCCAAAAATGAGCCGAGCTGCGCTAAGCATATCCATTACCATGCCGAGTGCCTACCACTGTCTTCACTTCCTTGATGGCGATATTGTAGAGGATCATGGAGCCAATGTTCTTCAGCTGTGGACAATTGGAGAGTATGCAGTGCACGGCCACCTTGGTGGTGACGCGTATATTTGATATGGTCTGGCCGTTGTATTCCCACTCCGAGATGTACAGCAGCCACTCTGAGGGACCCACGTTCTCGAATAGATTGCAGGTCTACGGAGTGAACAAGTCTTTAATATAACTCTGATATTGTTTAGGACTGGAACTGAAGGACTTACGAACATGGCCCAGGCCTGCTGCTCTTCAGGTGTATGCTTGTCAATGTCCTGTGCGAAGTTCATGAGCGTGTGATCTCTGCGATCCTGGTGCAAGATTATGATCACATCGTCTTTGAGGGCTGCATAGGCCAGCGTGCGTATCATATGTATCCGTGTGTCTGGCGAGAAGGCCTGAACGTCTCGGAGCACACGCTGGACAAATACCAGAAAATTGTCACCCAACGCCCATGAGCCATCGTCCTCGATCAAATACTGATGCAGCTCCTCCATGGCCACTTCCTCTTCCTTGGAAATTTTGCCATCCAACAGTTTCACCAAACACTCTAATTCAGTCTTAATCTGCGGTAAATGAGATGAGTTCATCATTATTAGTTAACTGCTGGCGATTACAAAGTCCATTTAGACATATTTGTGTAGGTTTCATTGCTTACATCGATGTCTTTGCAAACCAGCGCCGGTTCGCGCGGAATCTCTTTCTCCTCGGTGGACTTGGAACGCTCTTTGCCATTCTGTGACGGCTGTTGTTGGGCTGTGGGCTCTGACATGTCCGTCTATAAATAGTAGAGTGAGAAAATTAAATTAAATAAATTTTCATATTTATAAATACAAAGACGACGCCAAAACAAAAAGTCTTGACTGCAGCAGCAGCAGCAGCAGCAGAAAACGTCATTCGACACAATTTCCTACAACAAAAAATTTTCTTTTAATACCGAATTCTTTTTTACGAACACCTTTATTCAGTCTACAAGAGATATATGCATATGTACATACATATATATAGACATACATACATATATGTTGTAATTCAGAACTGATATGAATGCTAATGGGCACTCGTGCCGAAATGTTTATAATTTCGACATTCGCATTAATTCTCGCAATTTTCTTTTAATTATAAACAACATAAAATCAAACGAAATGGGGGAAACAAAGACCAGAAACAGGACTGGAAAATTGTCAAACCAATGTGCGACAGTAAGTGATGAAGACTGAAAATAGCCGAGGTATTTTTAGTGTTTTACTTAGCATAGACACAAAAAGAAGAATCAAATTGTATTAAGAAAAATTATAAAAAGAATCGGAGCAAGTGAAATGCAATTTCTTTCTAGTATCATAAAATGTCCACTCGAAAGGTTTTCCAATTAAATTTTATAATTTATGGACTATTAATTACTCACATGCTATTTTGGTAGAAGTGACACAGAAATTTCAACGATTTCGACGTCAATAAAAGCGTGCCACGAAATTATTTTCCTTAACTCTTGTATAGGTTTCTTTTCGGCTTGGCTTGCGCTTTTGTTTATACAATGTACACTCAGATTGTTTATACTATATTATACGTCTGCAATTTTCCATATATGTAATTTGAAATTTTATTAAATTCCGCTGGGAGCCGTCTTCACACGTTCCGTGTTCACCGAGAATCGTTTCGAAATTGCCCGCTGTTTTTGCCGAAAATTCCTGAAGAAGCGTGAGGAAAACTATCGGAGAATAAATGCATACATAGCAACAAAAAACCGGTGATTATATTGTATACATATACATGTCCGTATACGTATTTGTATGCGTATTCGTATTCGTATTCGTATTTTGAATACATTTATATTTATATATATACGCATATCTCTTTGCGAGTGGGTTTTCGTGTCGGGTTTTTAAAAATAGAAAGATTTCTCTTCTGCTCTCAAGAGAACGTCGCAACGTTGCAGTTACACTGCTCAAAATTGGCTCTGATTTCGTTTAATATGAAGCATGTCCACATCTTTAATCATTTCATAAAACTACTGAGTAAACTGCTTTAAGTTTGCAGCATTATTATAAGTTCGCTTAAGGCCAAAACGTCAAAACCTCAAGAATGCGTTAAGGACAAGTGGGCGGTCTCTGGGTAAGGTCGGGAAAAACACAAAATGCTATTAACTGCCAACCAAAATACATTCGCTGCGCCACGGGCCGTCCTGTCGCCTCCTGAAAGGAACAAGTCTCACATTGCGTAGCCGACATGTTGACCAAGGCCCGCGAACGCAATACACCATCAATTGCTTCTGAAGCGTTAAACAGTGCAGGCGCTAAACGGATTATCTAGAAAGAAAAAAAAAACAATAGACCAAGTGCTAAGCATCAATATGAGAGCCAGTGTAGAGATTTGCTTTTACCTAACTGCTATTCTTATATGCATGTACACGGCAAACGCTTCGCTCGAAACCGAAAACAATGAAGTGAATGTGAGTAAATGCAGTGCAATAAAACTTTTAAAATGTAACTAAGTGTTGTGAGAATTTCTCTTTTTATTTAATGTCCATTTTTATGGAACTGCAATGAATGTGTCATAAAATTGGGAAGTGCTTTGCTGAGAGCTCAAAGAATTTTTAAGCTTCTTCTTCATTTCCTGAGAGATTCAAGATTGAATTCTTTAACTAAAGTTGTCTTTATTAAACTTAAGAAATATTGACGCATTGCGAGATTGAAGGTTTAAGTTAAGTCTGCAGAGACAAAATTTACAGAGAATGGTATTATCTAAGGAGTCTTAAGAGATTGTTTCATTAACTGAAGTCTGGGAAAAATGAAACACTATAGTTGAGATATTTATGTCTTCAGAAATGTATGTAAGGAAAGACTGAATTCTTAAAGTATTTAAGTGTTGACAGATAATCTAGTCTAAGCACTATATTCCATATTCTTAAGCCTCCATTTCTTTTTCGATTCTCTTAACAGCACAAGCTCAGCGGTGTTATACAATGGAAATATGAGAAAAGACCTTTTTGCAATGCCTTTACAGGTAAATCGTAAATCCATTGACCTCTAAGTAATAGTAATATAATAAATATTTAGGCTGTGGACGTAAGCGCACCTCGTACCCCTCCTATCCGCCATTTTCGCTTATCAAACGCAATGAGCTCGAGGAGAAGCCCTACAATAACAATGAGTATCTATCGGAAGGGTTGAGCGATCTGATTGACATCAATGCGGAGCCCGCTGTTGAGAACGTGCAGAAGCAGATAATGTCGCAGGCCAAGATATTTGAGGCCATCAAGGAGGCCAGCAAGGAGATCTTCAGGCAGAAGAACAAACAGAAAATGCTCGAGAACGAACAACAGCTGCAGCAACAGCAACAGCAATTGGAGCAGCGCGACAACAACTAATATGACGAAACCCGATAAGGATAATTACCCCCAAGTTAAACACATGAAATCGTTTTGTAAATAAATAATCAGTCTACGAATATATGTATATATACACACACACACACATATGTATGTATGTATATATATATATGTATACATATGAAGTACTCGTATATGCGCTTGGCTAGAGATATAAAATTCCATTGCAAGCATTTATTAAAATCGTGTTGACTCTATTCATACAATAATCACGCAAATTATTTGGTGGGGCCGATAAGAAGACTTAGCTGCTATCAATGTGTTTTGAATTCTATATTCGCTATCGTAATGGACAGACAATGTATGTACATGTATGTGGCCTTTTGAGTTTCACAATTCGGCTCAATCGGCTTTCTTTTTAGAGAGCCGCACTCTGACCCCATCCTTGGGCAGCAATCCAATGCCAGCGTTTTCGAACTCCAGCTCTCGTCGACTCATCACCTCGACATTGAAGTGCTGTAGGATCTTGACGATGGCCAGTTTGACATTTACGCGTCCCATGCGCTGGGCAATGCAGATGCGCGGACCCTCACCGAAGGGCATATAGGCTATGGGATTGTAGTTTTTGCTCTCTTCGGCAAATCGATTGGGATCGTATTTTTCTGGATCTGGGAAGTATTCGGCATCATGGTGAATGCCATGCAGTGAGATGACCACCGGAGTGCCCTTCTTGATGACATGATTGCTGTCCGGCACCTTATAGTCCTGTGTGCACTCACGGTTAAGCATTGGCAAACCGGGATACTTGCGCATTGTTTCCAACACACATAACTCAAGAAATTCCATCTTACTTAGGACATCGTAGCTGATAATGCCACCATTCTGCTTCAGTGTCTCATCCACTTCGGCTTGCAGGCGCTCCAAATGCTCCGGATACTGAGCCACCTCAAAGATTGTAAAGGCTGCCGTTGAGGCTGTTGTCTCCTGCCCAGCTATGTAGAAAATGAAGGCTTGGGCGGTAATTGCCTCCAGTGATATGCTCTTTAGGTGACCTGGAATCGAGAGGTGAATAACGTAACGAGATCAAATTGCTGCCATGCTCACCATCCTCAGAGGTTTGAATGCTCCAGCTTTTGCTGTCGTCTTCCTCGATGCTGCCCTTGTTCCTCAACTCCATGAGCAGCTGCAGTAAGTCCTTGCGCACAATGCCGTTCTGTTCCCGATATTCGATGGTGTCCTTGACAATGGCCAACATGGCCATTCCCACGGGATTTCTTAAGCCCATGCGAAACATAATCTTCAGGATACTGAAACGAGTATTGCGTTAGTCCACGGCTCAATATGCATTCACCAGCAGCTTACGAGGGCACCAGGAATAACAGCATGCCAAACAACGCACTGAAGCGCGTATTGCGTCGTGCAATGGTAACCACTTTTCTGAATTTGTTGTCCGGCTGCTCATAGCTGTTCACGTCCAGCCCGAATATGACTGAGGCGATAATGTCAACGGCATAGATCTGCATCACCTCCTTCAAGTCCACCTCCTTGGCCCCACTTTCGGGCAGTTCTTTCTGCAAATGGGCCACCATTTTGTTGCCAATGTCTTCGGAGGTGCTGTACATGGCCTTCAGCTTGCCGGAGGTGAAGCAAGGCGACAGCATGTGACGCATGGAGCGCCACCTTTGGCCACGCAGCGCAAAAATGGACGCAGACAGCGGATTATGCTTCTCGTCCACATAGACGCCTCGGTCGTGGAAGCTCGCAAAGTCTTGAGTCAAAACACGACGAGCCAGTTCAGCATCGCGTACTAAAATAGCCGGCCGGAATAGCAGGAAAGTGCCCAGAAAACGCTCCTTGCTGTTTTTGTAGACATCGTAGAGGGCCATGCCCATGGCCTTCTCCCTTCTCCAGACGCTGCCGAGGCAACCGAATGGAATACTGATGTTCTCATCATACGGAAAGCCGTGCCGCTCCCAGTATAGATAATGGTGCTTCAGGTAATACCAGCCCAAGTTTAGAAGCGTTAGGGCAAACAAAAATAGATATAACATTACAGTCCAATGTTCAATGCACAACTCGACTCGACGAAGTGTAAAACCCGTTTGACTGCTATCGCCCCAGTACAGCCGCTATTTATACAATTCTTACATTTCATAACATTACTGTATTATTTCAGTCGAAAAACAGAGAGCACAGAGCGCGATAAGTATACGGAGCTAAAAATAACACAGTCCACTATCTAATTAACTCTATCAGCTGGTACGAATCTATAGACATTTAGAATTACGGTAGGTTATGTTAAATGATAACTCGCCTGTAAGAACGGTATACGGATAGCCGGCTCGATCTGTACCTTAATACACTTGGCTCACAGTAAAGAACACATTGAGTTACTCGATTTAATCCAGATTTAATCTAGTTTATATGGACATTTAAAGGGCGGAAAATATACAAATGTGTCACATATGTATTTATGATGGGGACCAACATAATAAATATGTAAGTTTAATTATGATAGTATGTATGTATGTATATAATACAAACAGCACAGCTGGTATAACTACTTAGTCCATAAATATGATCTAAATGCCCTCAGTTAAGGAACGGTCTACGACGTTTGGCAATCGATTGCGCTTAAGCCTTAGCATCTATAATTTCAAAATGCAGATCGTATTGCTGATCGAAACCGATCAGGCAGTCGGACATTAGATATAATGTGAGCAGCAAACGGCCGCGACGTGGCGTTGCCTGGAAGGAGATGCGATTTGCGGAGCGAATGCCGCGCAGTGTTAGACGTTTCATAGCCAGCAGTTCGTCATTCGCTTGTGAGCCGAGCGTTAGGAACCAAGCCTCATTCTTTGGCTTTGGATACTTTGGACTGTGTACGGAGTATCCCTGGCCGCCACCTCTACGCTGAGCGGCAGCAACGTTCATGCGCTGCAGATCGACGCACAGTACATAGTCTTCGTTGGCATGCAGTGGTACCCATTCGACTGAATCTTCGCTAATTGACACGGGTCGCTTGGCGTACTCCTCTTCCATATAGCGACCCTCTACAGAAATTTGCAGTGAGATTTCTGGCAAACCTTGAATGACCTATAAAAATGGAAAAGGTTATTAAAAGTCTTTTCTTATTGTTCTGAAATTTGTTGACCATACCTTGTACATTTGCTCAATCTCGTGTTCCTCGAACGCATCCCGCAGAGGCTGTGCCAGCACTTCGTAATCATTTCTGCAGATTTCTTTGAGAACGGGCAACGTTAGGTATTCGTAATTGTCGTGCTGAATATTGAGAAACACATCCACGTTGGCTTCGGTGACACCGGGCAGCGTGAGGAACTCGCAGGCGTCGAACCAGCGTGCCTGAATGACGCACTGCATCAATTGCTGCACAACCAGACTTGTGGATAGCCAGCCACGCTCTGCAGTGTAGTCTACCATCGCTTGCATGACACGCGTAGCATTGTCCAGTGCCGACTTCGTGTCCGTCAGATAGTCCGAGTTGGGCAGCGCCTGGCGGGAGAAGTGAGCTTGCAGCAGCAGGAATGTTTTCGTGTAGGGTGAATCCCAACTGGCAGATGGAGGTCGGAAGCGAAGCACCTCGGCCAATTCTTCGTTATGCTTGTCCTCGTTGTGGCGCACAGGTTGCTGATCAAACTCATAGGAATCTGAGATGGCCAGGAGAACCTGCTTGGTGTCCATGCCCGGCTCTAGATCTTCCAGGAAATGCTTCATTGTGCGGTACGACAGATAGTAATAGGAGCTGATGCGGCCCAGAAACGTGGGCACTAGTTGCCCCTCCCGTTCGACGACGCAGGCAGCATTCGCCAATTCGTAGACGACCCGCTCCACCAGGCTGGACATGAAGGCATTCACATTCTCCGGCTCGACGCCCTCAAGCTGATAGTACGATGGATTACGCAGCAGTCGTCGGAAGAAGTATGTCCATGTTAGATAGTCCAGGGCCGCCTGTTTGGTCTGCACTGTTCCAGCTACAATTTCAGCGTTGACATGCTCAGGCAGCACGGCCAGCAGACTGGACTCGACCGGGAACGGGTCGTAGAGGAATTTCTTGTAAAAGTTCTTTTTCTCATCATGCACCAGGACGACGGCCACGCCCTCGTTGTCGAACTGGGGCCGTCCAGCGCGTCCCATCATTTGCAGGACATCCGTAATGGGCATATCGACATATTTCTTTACCTTGCCGTCAAAGTATTCGGTGCCCTTGATGACCACCAGATGGGCAGGCAGATTGACACCCCAAGCCAATGTGGCGGTGGCCACCAGGACTTGAATCTTGCGATTCAAAAACAGTTCCTCCACACATTTGCGATCCGGCTCCTGCAGGCCAGCGTGATGAAGCCCAATGCCAAACGCCAGGCAGAACTTCAAGTTCTGATCGCGAATATTCTGAAGGATTAGCTCCATTTCATCCTCGGCGATGTGCAGGAACTGTTTGGGGTTCTCATCGCCAGCAACGAAGGTGATCAAGTCCAGCGCCGTTAAGCGAGTCTGTCGACGCGAGGACACGAATACAATGGTCGGCTCGCATGGAGAGTATGTGCGTATGGCCTGGAAAGTTGGCCGGTTCATTGTGGCCATGCGCGGGCAATAGTGCTTTCCCGGGAAGCCATTGATGTGCACCTGCAGCGGCACCGGCCGCACCGAAGGCTTGAAATTGTACAGTCCCATTCGTTTAATGCCCAGCCAGTTGGCCAAGTCCTGAGCATTCGCTAGCGCCGTTGACAAGCCCACAATGCGTATGGAGTGACCCGTGTGCGAGCTGATGAAATTCGTGCGGGAAACAATAACTTCGATAACTGGGCCACGATCTTCGCCCAGGAGATGGATTTCGTCTATCACAATCAGCGAGACATGCTGCACATACTCGCGAGTCTGCCAGGATCGACTGATGCCGTCCCATTTCTCCGGCGTTGTGACAATCAGTTGTGATTCACGAATAGCTTGAATGTCCGGTGTGACATCACCTGTCAGCTCCACAACTTTAAGGCCCAGCGGTGAGCGCTCGAAGCGCTGCTGCCAGTCTGCGATGCGCTCCTTGACGAGCGCCTTTAGCGGCGCTATATACACCACTTTGGACTTGGGTTGTAGGTTTAGTGCGCGGAAAATGGCGATCTCTGCAACAATTGTTTTGCCACTGCCCGTGGGGGCGCCCAGCAAGACATTGTTGTTCGTGTGGTACAGGCAGTGGAAAATCTGCGTCTGTATGGGATTGAAGTGGCTGAATTTGTACAGTGATTCGTAGAGCTCATTCTGCAGACTGGCTACTGGCAGTGGACGCAAAGGTAGCAGCTCCGTCAGTGGCGGATGGTGCTCCGGCAGCACAAGGTGCTGGAAGGACAGTGGCACACAGGTGGTGCTGCCCAGCCAGGTGTCACTGCTGACGCGTATGTAGTACTGGGGCGGCAAGGGCTCCTTCAATGGAATGGTCATCACGAGCTGTTGTGACTGACCGCTAAACACGCACTTGCGACTTATTTGGAACAGCTCCGAATGATATATGTAGTTGGACTCCGGGTCCTCGATCCAAAGCCAAAAGCTTTGGCTCGTCTTGCCATGCACGCGATCGTTCCATGTGAAATCAGGCCAGATTTTTATAGAGATGCGTAATACGGTGCGGGTGATTGGCTGCAATGTGGCCTCGACTTCTAGGACAGGGAGCTCCCGTGCTGCACGTATGACCTGCTCCGCATACCGGTCGCTGCGCAGCCATTCTTTCAGCTCACGCTGCTCCATTTCCCTCAGCCGGTAAACACTTAGGCCACGTCGTTCCAGCTTATCAATGGTCTCCGCATTGATGGTCGGAAACTGGCGCAAATGGCTGTCGAAGTCCCATTGCCTACGCTCAAACATCTTGCAGAGCTGCAGCATGCGACCCGTCAGGGTAGCATTGTTCTGCCTCAGCACAATGGAAAACAGGGCTCGAGCAATTCTACCAACATTTTGGGTTATGTAGGACATGTCGGAGCTTAACGAGAAGGACTTGACATAGCCGTTGGACAGATATGTTTGGATTAAAATGTTTACCTGAAAAGAGAACGAAGCAGTTAAATCATTTGGGCAGGCATACAATAAATTTGGTATATACCTTGCCGCAAACATTCTCGCTGCCTCCGAAGGCCTTTAATTTGCAGTAGTACTCCCGCAGCTCGTCCAGTTCCTCAAGCTCGTCGTCGCGCACTTTGAGCTGTTGAAACTCCTGCGCCTGCGACATCATGGCTAGGAGCTCTGCTTCGGTCATGTAAGGCTTCATGAGTTCATTGAATGTTTCCACCGTGTCGTATTTGATATAGAAATGCGAGGCAGTGCGTCCTAGGTCAGTTACGTTCATGTCCATGGTGCGCTGATTGAAGCGCACCATCTTGGCCTTATCCAAACTCATTGATGCGGACATAATCAAAGCACGCCGGCGCGCCTCCAGCGTGGGGTCCTTCTGCAGCTCTGAGTACTCAATGCCATAGACATGTGGGTTGATGCGCATGCGCACAAAGAGGTAACTAAAGTCGAGGATAAATAATTAAACAAGCCAATATGAGCTGTCTAGATGGTCACTCACGTGTAGCTAAGCCACTCGATTGCCTCCTCCACATTGGAAATGGTGCCCAGGCAAATTTCGGCATTCAGATTATCAGCCAAACATTGCACAAAGTTAGATTCGATGGGGAATTGATTGGTCAGCAGGGAAAGATAATGATTGAGCTTGTCGTAGCTGGTGATAATAGTGCCAACGCCGCTTTTATCGAACTGTGGTCGGCCAGCGCGTCCGAAGATCTGCAGCACGTCCAGTATGCCCAGGTCAACAAAGCTGCCATGCTTCGCATCGTAGATATCCGTGCCGCGTATTATGACTGCATGAGCTGGCAGATTGACGCCCCAGGCAAGGGTGGCCGTACACACAAGCACTGAGATGTGACCCTCCACAAAGTATTTCTCCACCATTTGGCGATCCGCGCGCAGCATGCCGGCGTGATGCATGGCCAGGCCGCAGGAGAATAGCTCAACCAGCTGTTTATTCCTGCTCTTCTGTATGGAACGGCAGGCCAGGCCATGGGCATTATTGTCCGCTGGCAGGAACAGGGCGCTGGTATTGTTCTGCTGCGCCAGTTCTCGCAGCACATTCGCCGTTCGCACCGTAGCATTACGTGCGTGGACAAACACCATCACCTGATGACCTTGCTGGACCATTTCTAGGCATTTCTGATAGCAGCACTGATCCATGTCAGCTATTTGCTGCAGAGGTTTAACCGATTTAATGCCGACGAAGTTAGTGTCCAAGGGCACAGGTCGGAAGCGCGAGTCGAAGTAGAATAGACCCTTCATGGGATTGACGCGCAGAAAGTGGGCCACATCGATGTAGTTGGGAAGCGTTGCGGATAAGCCCACGATGCGTATCATGGACTGCGAGGACTCTACTAGACGCAGTGTGCGCGCCACTATAGCCTCCACTACAGGACCACGCTCACCGTGCAACAGATGCACTTCGTCAATAATGAGCAATTGGACAAGACTGACGAGCGCAATGTCACCACTGCCTGCAATTGTTCAATAATCAAAATATATGGATCTGAGCTAATTTATTGACTTACCCTTTCTGGTCACAACATCCCACTTTTCGGGCGTGGTGACCAGTATCTGCGTGGCCGTCATCTCTGCTTTGGTTAGCTGCATATCGCCCGTCAGCTCCCGCACGCTGATTTGCATTGATTTCAGGCGCTTGGAAAAGTTCTCTACCATTTCAGAGGCCAGCGCTTTCATGGGCGCAATGTAGACAATTTTGAATTGATCCCGATTGATGATACCCTGCTCCAAATGGCATCGAATAGTGTGCACAATGGCCAACATAGCCACATTTGTTTTACCAGCTCCAGTTGGTGCACAAACCAACATATTCTCATTGCTGTGATAGGCCACAGGATATACCACGGATTGTATGCGATTCAGCTCCTTGCAGTTGGCAAATGCCATCTGGCCAATGTCGTCCAGCTCCGAGATCTGAACGCGCCTATTGCCCACTGTAAGTGGCGGTGGCTCACTGGCAGGTATCTTGACCTCCTCCCATTGTTTATTGTCGATTCGTTGAGCATTGTCGGGCAGCGCAATGCGACCGCCGCCTATGAAGCCGGCATGTTGCTTGGCTTCCCGTTGGCTATCGAAGACATAGGGATAGTATATGGGTGCCGTGTAGTTTGATTGCTCGGCTTTAACTGCCTTGGTGTTGAGTAGCAGTGGTTCGCGCTGCGCTGCCTCGAGCAGCTTACGCTGGTGCTGCATTCGCAGTTGCTGCGCAGAAATAGCAACAGCGCAACCTTCTTCGTCGCGATCTTCATCATTGTCTTTAACGTTGCGCAAGATGCGCTGCAGCTTCTTCTCTTCGCGACGCTGCTGCTTGCCCAGCAGCTTCTCCTGTTCTGACTGAACCACAACTGCGCTGGCTACCGTCGGCCGCTTCTCAGAGCTGCCTGATGTCAACTGCCGCTTTTGCTTTACTAGCTTGACGCGGCGGGATCTTGTTGCATATTGCTCCAGTTGCTTCGCGATCTTGATACGCTCCTGGAGCAGCTGTCCAACCAATTCGAAGTGCTCGAAGCCTAGGAGCTCCATTAGCTCGTTCTGCAGATCTTCGCTGCTGCGCTTCGAACCAAGTATGTCGCCAACCCGATCTAGAAGCAGCTCATCGTCAATTTTCTCGGCTATGCCCAGAAGTGTTTCCAGCTCTGAGCTTAGTTTATAGTTGTCTGTGCTAGGCTTTCCAGATGGCATCGAGTTGTGTCCTGTCTTCAGTTTCATGGTAAACTTGTTAACCACTTGATTTTTGAGCAGTGCATCGGGCGACATATCCGTCAACAAGCTGGGATCCTGCCAGTTGGCCGGTGTGTATTTTACGCATATATCTTCGCCCCAAAGTGGCCGCTGATCCGTCGATTTTTGCGATTGCCTCCAGCGCTTTAGAGCAAGCAGCTCATCCTCCTCCAATGCATCTCTCACAGCAAGCACACAGTTGTGTATCTGCGTTCGTTTCCGATCGAACGTGTTGCCAAACATGGTGTGCAGTCTATTGTTGGTGGCTACCAACATCACGCGCTCATCCAGCAGCAGCCAGAACAGATACAGGGCTGCATGTTCCACTACTTGTGGCTGCTCCTCGTATCCCATGCATTCTTGCACTAAATTCCGTAGCTTTTGCAGCTGAGCCTTGGCCTCTGGCTGTTTGTTCGTCGGCAATTGTGACAGTAGTTTTGCTATCGTCTGCTCAGTTTTCCTTCAAAAATTAATTTTTATTAATTTTTAAGTATACATATGTATGTATTTCATCAGTTGAGGCAACTGTATCTTCTTACTTGCTGGGTGTCGTCGTGGACACTAGATTTTTAGCAAGAGCTTCGTTCAGACCTTTGTAGGATTGCTTCCTTGATTCGAGCTCCGTTTTGGCTCGTAGCGCAGCACTTAGTCGAGGCGGTTCCCACATGTTTAGCCAGATTTTATTTTATTTACGAAAGAAACTAGATTTTTACTAATTAAAATTGGTTTGGTTGCGGTACCAGCTGTTGTTGCACAGCTGATGCGCTTTAGCGCTATAGCGTTGCCACCTAGCCGATGTCGTTGCTAATATCGTACGTTAAATATCGTAAAAGAACAGATATTTATGGTGGGAAATTCAAATAAACTAAAAACTTATTTTCCTTTTTTTTACAATGAATAAAAAGTAAATAAAGAAATTGGTGTAATCTTGGCTGCACAGTCTTTATTATAATTTATATGCGTTGCATGTCTGCTGGCAGGTTTATTCAAAACTTTTATAATCTGTTACAAACTGTTTTGATTGAGGTAAGCCCATACTCTCACACACACCCACACACACTTGCGCACCCACACACAATCGCATAGTCCGCCTCAAAAGTATGCTACATAAACTTGTTGCGCAAGCTGCAATTGTGCGTTTGAGGTTGTCTGTGCAAAGATAATTTATTATGCATCACATGTCCATCCTTACACTTGGATGTATTGCCTTGGTTATTGGTCCGTAGCATGCTTGAGTGACCACTTTGAATTTAACTGCTGCGGTAGTTGTGTATGTGTGTGTGGGTAACTCTGTGTGAGGTTGTGAAAGAGTATAAAAACAGATTCACTAGGAGTTCAGTCCTTTCAGTTGCTGCTGCTATTGCATGACTCGAGTGAGACCCTCAAAAGACTTCCTATGAGTTTCGCAGTTTGGTGAGCTGCACTTTGTTACCAAGATTCAGACGAGCTGCAACGAGATGCATTTCCAGATCATATTGCTATGTGAGTAGGCAGTGAAAACTATACACAAATGACGACTATATGGAAATCTACCCTTATAGGCATATGCTTAATGTGTCTTGCTTGCTCAAACGCCATACAATGTGACTCTTGTGGCAAGGAGTGCTCCAATGCCTGTGGCACCAAACATTTTCGGTAAGCTATGCTGTGTCCACTCTCCCATTGCTCTAATCATATTCAGTTTTCAACAGAACCTGTTGTTTTAACTATCTTCGCAAACGTACCGATCCCGCTGCACTGCGTCTCAGCTCGAATAAGCGACTCATTGACTTTATATTGCTGCAAGGACGCGCGCTCTTCACGCAGGAGCTGCGCGAACGCCGCCACAATGGCACTCTCATTGACCTGGACATGAGCACCTACTACGGCTGAACGAAAACGTATATTCCAATCCGACCCAACGACGACGGCACAATGACGGCAATTAGGACTACAATGGAAATGATTGAAGTGTTAATTTTTCAATAAAAAGGCGTAAAACTCTTTGGGGCAAGTGCTTTATAAAGCAGTTCAGACAGTTACACTTTCATCCTTGAGGAAAAATCATGTTCTTTGATTTTGTATCAATTGCAGTTTAATTATGTGTTTTTTCCATTTGTTGTACCATTTTTTTTTTTTACATTTTTGAATGCTAACTTTTTTTTATAGTTTTTTTTTGTGTTTATTTGGAAAGCTAGATTCTGTGCCACATACCAGCTGGAATGTGGTCAAATCTCGTAAAGCTGTCAGTCCCTGTGTCTAAGCATCACAGGTCACCATCTACATCGTAAGCCTCGTCGTGTGCTGCAGTCGTCGTTTATTTTGTCTAAGCTTGAGATTCGCTAATCTCTGCGGTGGCTTGTGTTCTCGAGTCCGAGGAGAATTCATCCTTGCCACAGGCCAGGCAAGGCATCTTCTCCCTGAGCACTTGCTTGTACTTGGGATGGCTGTCACAAACAGGCAAAGTAAGTGATTAAAAGTCATTTCATATTCGGTGGCCTTACCTCAAGCCATAAACAATGGGGTTGCAAACCGCGTTTGCCTTGGCGAACACCGAGCCGCAAATTGTGGCAAGCGGCGACAGATGCATCGATTGGAAGATGCCCGCGTAATTGATGATTGTATAGGGCGTCCAGGCGAAGAACCACAGCGAAATCGTAGTCAACGCCACCTTGGCCAACTTGATTTCGATGGCCTTGCTCTTCTCTGCCTCGGTGTTGCGCAGGGAGGTGACATTCATCTTCTTGGCCTGCTCGCGCATCGCCTTCTCGTGGGCGGCCACTGCCTGGGAAATGGGGATAAGCATTCACTCGCAATCAAGGAAATCACTCTGGCTTACTTTCAAGATGTGATAGTAGGAGAAGATGATGGTCGTCAGCGGGGTAAGGTAGACCCACATCGAGTAGACAATGATGTAGGAGCGGTTCCACCAATCTTTGGCAAAGTAATCTGTGCCGCAGGCCGTCATATTGCCCTCGGGCACATATCGATTCCAGCCGAACATCGGAATCAGAGCCCATGTGCCGCAGATGGTCCAGACGACAAGCAGGCGGAGCACAGCTGCCGTGACCGTCAGTGGCTTGCGGGCCATGCCCTTGACAATCACACAGTAACGATCGTAGGCAATCAGTGTCATGGACCAGATGGACACACAGCCAAAGAGGGAGCCGAACAGGCCGTAGAGCTCGCACAGGAAGGGGCCCATGATCCAGGTGCCGTAGAAGCCATTGAGGACGACGGGTGGGAACATGGTGAACATCATCATGAAATCGGAAAACGCCAGATTTACCACAAACATATTGGATGGCGTTCGCAGCGACTTGGATGACGTAAAGACGTACATCACAATAAAGTTGCCCGCCAGTGACATCACGCTTAGAGGTTGGGCAAAATTAATTGAAATATTCAAGCATGGGCAAACTTGTAGATTTTGTGTCTTTGTAGCTTACCCCAGCACCGCGATGACGAATCCAATGATGCCAAACCACATGGGCTCCATTGGTGGCCACTGATACCAGTAGGGATCCACCATGTGCATGATTTCAGCTGGCACGCTCTCCGCCAGGCTGAGATTGCTGCCATCTCGCAGATGCGCATAAGTGGGATTATTCAGACTTATCATGGCTCAGCTTGTCCAATTCTAAAGCTTCTCGGTGGTCGAACTTTGTTTGTACTTAGGCTGTTAAGGATGTCTGTCCATAGCAGTTGCAATAACTATCAAGATTTCTCTTGGCGCCGGACTGGACGCGACTGCACTGGGCCGGCCCTTCGGGCTGCCTTTATATGTGGCCAGGGTCTTGGAAAACACTTGAGTCTAGCCAGTCTTAGACTAATTGCTAGCTAATCCAATTATCCGTCACTTGGCCAATCCAAAGTCGCTCAATTTTAAATTCGTCTCCCCAATTGCTGTAAATTTGTAGCGTCGGATTAGCGACAAACGCGTCATTTCCCTGTCCAAGTCGCCCAAGTCATGGTCAAGTTTAAGGCAAACCAAACCTACCCACCCCAATCGACCAATTAGATTAGGACAAATGCTCTCTTGCCTCACCTTTTATTCACACACACACAAGCATACTTATATCTATTTATGTGGAAGTATACACCTCCATTATCTGGCTTTAAGCGTGCCAATTATAGCCCAGCTTGCGAGCTCCTCTCATTACCGCATGCAGCTGAAACTCTAGAGTGCCATACGACTCCATCGATAGGCCTGAGCATATGGAATAAGTTAGTACTAGGTATATTTATTGCTAAGGTCAGACTTGTTTACCCTTGGACTGCGCACTGTCTAGCAGTATCTTGGGATTCTTTAGCTCCGGCTGGCGTCGCAACAGCCAACTGGTTATATCGCCCAGCATATTGGGACACTTGGGCCTCAGGATTGGCGCTTGACTTAGACTTGAGATGTGCTCGTCGAGCTGCTGATGGCCTCCGAAGATGGGCATATAGACGTGGGCATAGCCCACCAAACTCTCGTTTCCAGTTTGATTCTGTCCAAACACGCTGACCAGGATCTGTGGCCCTGCAAAGAGATTGTGATTAGAGCAACTGCATCTGCCCAGGCCGCCGCGGCACTTACAGCCGAACGGACTGGTGCTCTTGTAGGTGACTTCGATGGGCATGTTGAAGACGATTTTGTCATTAAAGTGCCCAGTTTTATTGGTCGACATCTGGGTGATTCCATACTGCGGACCCGACACCAGCTGCCAGTCCGGCCCAGCGACCAGCTCATAGCGACAGAATATGTAGTCCTTGTCGGGACCCAGTGGAAATGTCGCCGACACTATCTGGCCCGTTACGAACAGAGTGAAAAAGCTGGCAGTAGATTTGACGCCCAATTCATTTGTCGTTTGGGTATTTGTTGGACGCTTGCTTTTTTTGTGTTTTTGTTTGGGCGACACTTTGTTGGTGTTTTTATCGTCCTCGTTGCCCTGGTTACCCGTTTCCTCGTCCTCGTGCATTGCTTGCGACTGTTCAGGGGGTGCGTTGAGCTCAAACTGGTTTGCATAAAACTGAAAGTTTTACAATCAACCGACTGGGCTGTCATTGTTCAGTGTTGAAAAATGCCGCACAGGAATATCCCTTGACTCCTACTGTTCTCAGTTGATCAGAAAGTATTGCATACTTTCAATGTCGATAAATAATTAAATAATATGCACTCAGGAATGTATTAATATTTATTTGTAGTATATTTAGTATATCAACAATTTAATATCGCAATATCAATTTCATTTTAATTTTCAAATTTTTAAATTTTTATTATTGTTTAATATTTTTTAATCGTTCTTACAACTAGTAAAATTATATATTTACTCCATCCTTTAATATATTTTGATATATCTTAAGCATTTTAGTTTTTTTTTTAACATTTATCAATTTTAATATAATTTTATTATATTAAGGTTAGTTTTTTCAAATTATAATTATAAATAATTCAAAGCTTTCTACTTTTTTAATATATACAATTCATACAAAAATCCCGGAAAATATAAAAAAAAAAACACATTTTCAAGTCCACATTTATTTTCGGATATCTTCTAGTCAGCTCAAGCGACTAAAGCTCTCTTACCTGTTTTGTTCCTAAGTTAGCTTTGAGATTTATTTAGCTGTCTCTGGTTGCTACTAATAGATGGGTATTACATAAACATAAACGTGATAGCATATTTAAGTTTTTGATTAATTTACTAAATTAATTTAGTGCTGCATAGTATTTACATTTTTAAGAAACATCATTCCCAGCGATTTCTCGTGGGTCTCTTCCATGACTTCCGCATGGCGCCAGCTGTAAGGCTGGTATATATGTATGTATGTATGTATGTAAGTGTAGTTATTGTAAATGTCATTTAATTTCAGCCGATATTATATGCTGTTGTTCTTGTGTTTCGCCAGACGTCGTTTATCTGCGATCAATTAATAATTTTGTTCATGACAATTTACAAGACTATAATTAATTTCTTTGTGGGGTCCCGGGCGTAGTTTCTAGGCGTCGTCATTGTTCTGCTGGTCTATTCTGACAAAGGTCAATTGTGTTTGATAAATGTGAATTTATTGGTAACTATGTATATAAATTTCATAATGAATGGCGACAGCAATCGCTAAGCGAGTCTTATGCATAAAGCTGAGACTCTATGGTCACTTACAAAATACCCTACAATGAAGAGGTCAAGTGATGGGGTGTATGCATTTGCATTCTTAAGCAATTTGCCATTCAAGTTTTCTACAAGTCGATGGCTAATTACTGCATATCTTTAAGTCCATCAACCTGTTCTTGCGTGCTTGCGGCTGCATGTTTATAAATCATTATGACAATTTGCTTGAGCTACCGTAACTAAAAAGTGCGCCCCCTGCAACTGGGAAATCCCCCCGCGCCTTTGGCATTATGCAAGAAACGAAGAGCTCGGCACGTAATTAAAATGCGCGTCAAATGGCTAAAGTCGATAGTTCAAGGCAACCGAAGGTGTTAACTTGGCTGTCTACGGTTGCCTTAGGCGGAATTCAAAAGCCAAAGAAGGCTGCAGCTGCAGCCAACAGCTGTGCCTATCACAGTCGAGGATCGATGAAGACACCAGCCAAGTGGCAAGTGGAGAGGTGTGTGCTTGTGTGTGTGTGTGTGACGTCTGCCGATCGAGTACCATATGCAATTCTACGGAATAAGACCATACCATAAACAAGAGCTTAGGCTTAAGCAATAAGCCATAAGCCGCTCACATCAGCCGCTGCCTCTGCCCGGTCTGCGCGTCTGCAATTGGAGAGCCGCTTTGCCATGGCAGTTGCCAACCCGTGCTGCTGACTCGACATATTTATAGATACATATATATATATGTATGTATATGTATATATAAAATATATTTTACATATATGCATGTAAATAAGTATGTAAGAAATTTGGAGCTCAAGTTGTGCATTATGCCAATTGTTGTTATGCATTTCGGTTAGCTCTTTTATTTCTAATATGCTGTGGCATTTAATGCATATTCATTATTTTCATATATGCACGCAAACACATACATATGTGTGTGCATTCAATTTCGTTT